AATAGAAATAACAATTACATGTTATAATAAATTTCAGTGCACCTAATATCCTAGACATATTGGCCAAGTGCAAAGAAATTAACATATAATAAACCCCCATGCCATAAACATACTTTCTAGACAGAGAAGGATAAAATGTCCACCCCACACCAGAACCCAAATACATACTAATCCACATCCTTATCATCGATGATATTAAGATTCAAAGACTAAAAGAATTAATTCAGGGGAGCTTTATATTACCCTAACGTGTGAATATTGGTAAAAATATTTTACCAAATCCTCCAATTAAATCAGGCATCTAACAAAAAAATCATTGAAATCCCGTGTCTTGTTATCGTAAATTTATACCACTTAATTGAAAGAATTTTATAATACGGACTCATTAAGTTTAAACGAATTTACATACTCAAGCCCAATCCTACAAAACCAGATCACATACCCAAAAACAAATAAACAATACCTATCTTCTTATGATTTAAAGAAAACTAAATAAAAACTTTTTTCATCTTCAAATTTAAAATCCTAAGGTCTATTTATTGGTTTGAAAACAAATAATTTAACTTAAATTATAAATCTAAAAAAAACTAGATATTTCACACATCTAAATATGTTATTAGCTGTAACAAAAACAGGTTTTACCCTATTTTAAAAACTCTATAAAACCATAGCTTATCTCATAAGAAAACCTTAGTATAACATTCACTAAAAAACATATAATAAATCAAGCACCTCTAAGAAATATCAGACAAGCCCATCTTAACATCCAAAACAACAAAAAAAACCATAACAACCAAAACCTTAAACTAAATTTTCTCACCATTACCCTAAATGATTTAAACTCATACTCATACGGATTCATAATTTTGAAAAAATATTTGGTTATTTGGGATGTTGATATGCCAACAAACGAAAATAAGCTATTAAGCAACACTAAAGACGGAAGAATAATCCCCACCAATCACTATATCAGAGTAACCTGCTACTTGCGGCCCTATTAATAAAATCTAATTATTTCACACAAAAAATTGTATAACCGAAGCACACGGTATTTTTAACTTTAATCAGAGAAAAACAAACACAAACGCTTAAAGATAGTCAAAACATCAAGGGTTAACAACCTTACAATCTAAACTTAATCTATATAACCAAAAGAAAGACCAGAAACAACTAAAAACAACATAAGCAATAGCACAATCATTCACATCAACATATACAGACTTAAATTAGAAATAAGACCACGATAGCACAACCTCCTATAATAATTTTTAAAAACCCAAATCTTGCCAAACAACTTTAAATAATCAGCCAACCTCTGTAGAACCTTCATCATAGAAACTTTTTTGAGTCCAAAACGAGATTTTCAATAACCCAAAATTTTTATCTTTATTAAAACAATAGAAACAAAAAAAAAACAACAAACCATAAATAATTAACAAAAACCACCAGAAATAATTAACAACAACAATAAACAAACACCACTATAATAATAAATAATCCCATTGACTCTACAAATCAATACTCAACAGTAAACTAGATGTGTAACAATAAGAATTCTCCACAACTAATACGCAAAATTAAAATTAAATGCCTAAACTATGTTGTTACTCTAACAATAAGAATTATCTTTTATCTTCGATGCGTAAAATAAACATTTTAATTAAACAACCTTGTTATACGATCTATACCAAACGACTAGAGACACTTTTAACATAAAAGCCAATTCCCTAAAAAGTCTGTTGCTGACTATCAAATATAAATAGACATATTTTATTGAATACTTTTTGGGATATATTAATTATGTTTTCCAATATATATGTGTAGTTTTATTAAATATGTTCTAGTTTTAGATAGTAAGGCTTAGATTTATACAGTTAAACCAAAGAATAAAGCAAAACATAGTATCTATGACTATTCCAATCATCATATTGTTTCATCTACAAACAGATTTTCTTTACTCATAATTTACAGACATTAACTAATAGGGGTATTTGGCACGCAAATCAGAACCAAGACAATTTACTACAGCAGTCCAAAATATTTTACTATTTTGTTTTTAAATCTATTTCCTTTAAAAATAGAGGCAACATGGCTCTAAAATTTAGATTTGAACGTTTTTGCATTTGATTAGATAATTGTAATCAATGCCATTTATATGTATAACGTATATTCTATGTCAATTTGTTTGTTGCTATAGGTTATCATATACAATACACTAAGTTATGTTTGCTTATTATGAAATTGAAGTAATATATAATCTTTTTGTCAATGCTATCCTATTGCCTAACATGTTTTAATGAAGTGTGAATGAACAAAGCTTGATAGCATATTTTATCTCGTCTGATATAATATTTAAATTTAAGTAAAATTTCTAGAATACCAGCAAATAATTAATATAAGATGTATTCCCCCTTTTTGACTCAAGATTATGAAGGAAAAGTAGTAGAATTTTTCGACAACGATATGAATAAAGATGACGTTTTCCTTAAATTTCGCATAGCTATGCTTACCCAAAAAATAGTTCTTATCCAGATTGTACTGCAGTTTCCAACTCGCATCGTTCTTATCAGCACCCTTAACGAAAGTAAAAACTTAACAGTTGAGAAAAGGAGCATAAAACGCTGGCCTCTGGACCACATTGCCACGAGAGCCCTTGGGTTACAGGGCAGCTACACATTTTAATCAAGTCTAGGCCTTTCAGCATATCATATTCTTTGGTAGCATTGTGGATTAAACATGCGTATATTTGCTATAACAATTGACTAACTTAATTATTTGTTGTATTTGAGTAGAGTTTCAAGACTAATATTTTATTAGTAATATGATATCTGTTCACTCTATTTCGTTTCAGGTGGTAAATGATTTACTGTAGGTTTGTAGGATTTACTCAAATACCAAAAATACTTAACATAGTGTATTGTTAAAGGAAATATAATCTTGCCTAATCGACAATGCCACCAAGAAATATGATATAACAACAGGTTTAGCCCTTCTTGAAATTCACATCTATCTTGTAACCCAAGCACACTCTTGGCAATGCGGTACAGTGTTCAGCGTGTCAAGATACTTTTCTACACTGTTTCGGTTTAAATGCTGCTAGGGCTGTCCATAAGACCGATAAGAGGTCGAAACTGCAGTCCACCATGGAGGATAAGTAATATATAAATTCAGCTAAATATACTTACTTGTAATGTTATTTCTCTAGTATAAGCTTTGATTCATAATACATTTAATTAAACATATTTATTACGCTGAATGATCGTGAATACCTTAATATGGGGTCTACGTACCCTTTACAATACTGTCTATATAGTTCAATAAGAATTCGACAAAATAAAAGAACGTTTGTCTATTGATTTCATGTCTTTAATTTATATTATAATCCTTTAAGGGTTGATTGCTCATTTACACAGACGACAAACACATCCGGCTTATTTAATTCTTTATTCTAAATGCTTGCCTTTAGCGTTTCATTTTTAAACAAGATACTCTCTAATTGCCTTTTGAGTAGCCTATGCAATACTATGGTAAATTATACAGTAGTGTAAAGCCATAAAATTTAGAGTTAGAGAAAATTTGAACAACCATATCTGTGGGAATTTTTCTACATAACTATGACAAGCAATTTTTATGCCATATTGTTCACGCTTTCTCTGCGATAAGGAGATACTGGTGCAGTCACAATCAATATGCTTGAATTTATCAGATGGAAACTTCATCTCTGACCTAAATATTTTTAGTTGCATTTTCTTTCAGCATACAGCATGCAACAAGAAAACTTAGCTTAGCATTTCTTACAAATCAGACAAGGACCAAATTATTAGAAAATCTTTAGGATTAGATTGTGGACAGGTTTTATTCTTAAAGCAGCAGAAACTATACTTTTTGCTGAATACACAGCCATCAGTATTAAGGCCCGTCTTGAAACTATGCTCGTTATTTTAACAAGTTATTTGATAAATCTATATGGAGTGACTACCATTAGAGATACGACTGACTTTGAAAGCTACTAGAGATCAACAACTGTAATAAAATGTTAAAATCTCTTAAGATATAATAGACATAATTATCCATTATTCAAAGACAATCTAAACATTATAACTTAAAAAATTACAGGGCTATACAATGTTACAGATATAAAAACTGCTAAAAGCTACGCAACTGCATATGAAGTAAATTAGCTTCCCTCCAGATCCAGATACAGCTCTCTTGCATGCCTGCTTTTAGAGAGACACCACACTTATTTTTCTTCCTGATGTTACAATATAATAAACTTTCCTTCCTGCGCATCAGGACGCTTTGTTTCGTCCACATTACAAAAACAGCAGAGATTCTTCAAAATATAACAAGGACAAAACATGTATAACTCTACCAAATTACTGCAAAAACCTATTTAGATTTTACGATAAATCTTTAGCTTAATTTGATCCAAAGCCATAATTATAACATTCTTATATAAAAACATAAAATATTTGATTAAATACATTGTGTTAATTTTGTGAACAGTAAGTACTAAAGTATTTGACAGATTTTACACTTAGATAAATAGGCCTAATTCTGACATTGAATGCTTCTTAGAATTTGGTTGTCAAGAATATGTCTTATATATGGATGGATTTATTTTGTCAG